TCACAGAGTAGAAGCTTTTATTTCAATGATCAAAAGAATGCAGTCAATTGAACCTATAATGATTAACATCAGGCATGCACCTTTACCTGAAACTGCTGTTAGTTTTTGACTAGCCTAAATCTTTATAATTTTTTTAGGCAAAATTTTTTTACCCTGATATACAGGGTAACTTAACCTCTTTCTATGCTATCTAGTAATGAGAATTATGTTCACTGGTTAGATTCCTTTATAATTAAAGGTCTTTAGATCCTCAGATTGCCTGGTCTACCTTGAGACCATACTTTAGATATATTTAAATAATCATAGGGAAGGGAGACAACCTAGAAAGCTGAAGTGTAACTGAATAAACAGTCCATAGGGTTTTTTTTTTCCAGCACTGATAGTCAAATATTAGATAAGAAGACCCAGAGTTAAGTGCCAAATTATTATTCTCCCACTACTGCCTTTATGAAATATCTCCCCCAAAATGTGAAATGAAGTCACACAAATAAGAGATTTTACCTGTGTGGTCCCACCATCAAATTATAGAAAGCAGTTCCACTATCAAAATCATAGGAAGCAGTTAAGGGGACCTTGAGAAAAGCACAGTCCCACATACAGTAATATGCATATAATAATTTTCCATCTGTCAATTATTTTCACAAGATTAGCATTAAAAAACACAACCAAGTACATATATGACCCTCAAACCCCACACCAGAAAATTGGTCTTTGTTCATTATCAGATGACAAGATGTCCAAGTGGGACAAAAGGTGGGAGCCAGTCAATTCCCCATAGCCATTTCTTCAACCATCCCTTCAACAGCTGTTCCTTTTCTTGAACTACCTTCTTTTTCCAAAAAGGTAATGCTGAGATCAGTCAGAAAGGCTTTCTGAGAAGACTGGCTTGGATTTCTGGGTCTGTTCCAGTCGATTCAAGATGAATTGGCTTGTATCAATGAATCGCTCAACGCAGTTCACAAAACAGGCCTCAGCCCGACTGTCCAACTTTGGCCCAGGCTTGTCCATGCACTTCTCCCAACACAGTTCAGTCATCTGGTGCACCAGCTGCTGAAAGCGCTGCTTCTGAGTTTCCACCTCGATGAAATGCTGCAACTGTGGGTCCACTGCGCCCAAACCCGCAGCGGAGGAGGACGAGGAAGAATCCATCCCAGCGYGACCACGCGTGCGGAGACCGACTCCACACCAACTCACCGACCTTCACGTGTCTCAGCGACGGAACCGGAACCACAACCCGCCGCCTCGGGGACCGCCCCGTGAGTGCACTGCGTCGGCGCGAGGCTGGCGCTGGAGCCCGCCCTGTCGCCTCTCTTGCCCTGCGCTCGTGCTCCGCTCTCCCCGCCCGCTGGGTCCCTCCCAGCCACAACTCCCGGGGGGCGCCTAGCCTGACCCACCAGCGCTGAGGCGCTGTCAGGACGTTACTCCTAAAGGAAAAGAGTCTAGGGAGTGGGGGTTGGGGGGGGAGGAAGTTACTTTCAGACCACGTGGCCTGTAGCGGGCTAGCCCAACAGCTCCGCCCCTGCAAGCTTCCAAATCGCCCCGCGCTTTCCCTGCTGTGTCGTTGCACAGGGCTGCGACCGGTTGGCTGGTAAGTTTGCCATCCTACATGTCTGGCCTCTAATTATTTAAGGGTTTTCCTATCTTGACATAGGGAAATGAGGCTCTGGCAGTGTTTGTCCCCAAATTTAAAATCCATTCACATGATATCGCATGCCTTCTTAGTGCCAGGCATTGTGAATTTGTGAATTCATCTCACGTTCCGAGGTAGGATTTAACAAGAGCAAAAGAGGTTAAATGTGGAGGATCCTATCGAGTTCTCAGTGTAGAAATATGCCAAACGAATGCCACACAGCAATTTTTGCAATACCGAGATAGAGCGCTTTAGGGAGGCTGCACGATTGAAAGACCTTCACTCTTTCCAGTAATTTTATTTTATCCAAACACCCCTCCACTTTTATGACACCATTTCATTTTGCCATATTCTGCCCCACCCCAAGCTCTAATGCCTACCAGAGAGCTCTTGGACCCCTTGCAAGGTTATTTACATGCCTCCCTCCTCCCCAAACTTCCTTCCCAAATTCAGTCTGTCTTAATAGTCTTGGGAAATTTCCTCTCTTCGTGGGGGTTCTTGGGGAGGGAGGGTTAATACCAGGCACAGAAACTCCTTGGCCTTTACTCAGAAGCTCAATCCCAGGGAAATTGAAGAAGAGATGTTATATTTCTAGATGTAGAAGAGCCTTTGTGTATTCAGTGGTAGCATAAAGGCTCTAGAGCCTGCAAGCCTGGAATTTCTTCAGAGAAAATGAATTTGGGGCTTGTGAAGAGAGAAGTAGAACTAAGAAGCTTATGGGCCAGCTCAAGATTCTTCATCCATAACATCTAGAATGTTGCTCAGGAGAATTTTGAAAGTGGGACGTTCATCTGCTTTCTAAAAACAGAAAAAAAGTAAAGTGTTACAGTGACTAGAGTCCAAGGGAAATTCAATAGTAAACAGCAAATGTTTATTAAGTATATATTGTATATCCAGCAACATACCCTGTTGATTGCCAAAAAATGGAAAAGAAGTAGCAGGCTCTCCAAAAGTGCTTGTGCACTTTTCATCTTTAGTAACTCAGGTTATTTAATGTGATAAAAACAATTTACAAATTAAACTGAAAAACATTGGTTAAAATTGAGGGGAAGTTCTTTACATAATTACAATGCATTTTTATTTTGTAGCTTCAAATGAAAATGGCCACCAAATACATTTAAGTTGTTGGCAGAACAGAAATCCTACAAAATGTGGTAATGTTTAGTTTGGTTTCAAACACTGTTTCTGTCATTTCAAAGCGAAAATGAGGGCTGGAGATGTGGCTCAAGCGGTAGCGCGCTCGCCTGGCATGCATGCGGCCCTGGTTCAATCCTCAGCACCACATACAAACAAAGATGTTGTGTCCGCCGAAAAAAACTAAAAAATAAATAAAATTCTCTCTCTCTCTCTCTAAAAAAAATAATTGTTTAAAAAATAAATAAATCAAAGCGAAAATGAACAAAGGGCTTAATATTTCACAGCCACAGTCTATATCTCTGGGCAGAGAATCTGAACCACTGGGGATCTTTTGTTAGTCTGGCTTCCAAGCTAAGGTTCTTTTTGACAGCCATGGTCGATAAGCCTCTGATGTATTTAGTGATTCAGGGAACATTTATGCCAGAATGGTCTCAATCTGACAAAACCAAAAGGTCATCAGTTTTGTAGTCCTTTGAATCAGTGGTTCTCAAAATGAGCAAAATATAAGAATTTCCAGGGAAGTTTAAAAATATTCCTGAGTTCATTTCAGATTACCTAATCAAAATTTCTGGGTAAGAGCCTTAGTAACTTACATTTTGAAAAGTTCCCCAGGGATTCTGGTGTGCACCCTGTTTTGTTTGTTGTTTTTTAAAATATTTTGGTTTTAGTTGTAGTTGGACAGAATACCTTTATTTTATTTTTTGTGGTGCTGTGGATCGAACCCAGCACCCCACACATGCTAGGCGAGCTCGCTACCACTGAGCTACAACCCCAGCACTGTGCACCCTGGTTTTTGACCACTACTTTAAATAAGCTATTGAGAAAGTACCATCTGAAATTTTTTTAGCTAGCAGAGTAAGGATGTCCTGGTTAGAAGGAATCATAGCCCATTACCCCAATCCTTCATTATACAGGAGAAAAGGGGATTACTCCAAGGGATTGTCCTTTTCTCTATACTTTCTTTATGATCTCTGTCATTTGTCCCAAAGGAAAGGAGCCAATGTTCTGATCCTAATTTTCATCTCATCAAGAAGACTCCATATTCACATCAGTGTTCGTTGGATACTATATTTCTGTTTCTAGTGGGGCAGAACTAAGAGCTGAGCACTTACTTCCTACTAAAGATTTATGTTGTCAAATTAAGGTTTTGTACTGAAAAGTGAAAAAAGCACCTAAGAAAAAACCCAAGATGAGATCAGGAAAGCATTTTAGTAATAGCAGGACAGGCTTCTTATGTCCACAATAACACACCTTCCCCCAAACTCCACAGTGTAACATATTAAAAAGCAAAAACAGAGAGGTGTCACATGCCTATAATCTCAGTGACTCTGGAGGCTGAGGCAGGAGAACTGAGGCAAGCCTTAGCAATTTAACCAGACTTGATCTCAAAATTTTTAAAAAGACTGGGGATATACCCCAGGGGTAGAGTGCTTCTTGGTTCAAGCCCAGTAGCTGTCCTCCCACACATACATACAAATAAACAATAACTACCTATTTGTGGTCCCTTCTAAGTCTTAGGGTTATAAAAACATTTTGGGGGGCTGGGGTTGTGGCTCAGTTGTAGCGCCAATGACTCCTAGCAAATGAACACAAACTTCAATGACTTTTCTTTTGCAATGCCCACACACTTACCTGAGTGCCTTTGACTGGCTGTGGTAGGCTAGATGACATGACCATACAACAGCCCCTCCCACTAAAGCTGAGTTGGCATTGGGGTCTGCTAATGATACTGTAGTGAGAATTGGGGTGGGCCTGGGAAAGTCTCTTGTCAACAGAGGATTTGAGTGCAGGCCAGAGTCAGGGAATGTGTGCAGTTATCAGTCTTTGCCCAGCTTCCATACAGCCATGGAAAGTGGAGATTGGCCAGCTAAATGAGAAACTCAGTTCAAGGAAATAATTTAAAAGGTCACAGTAAAACACTTACCTCATGCCAGCAACTGTACATAATGGTATATACCCTCTCTGAAGCCAGATGAGGCCTATAGAGACGTAGGCCTTTGGCAATATGTTCAGCAGTCTCACTGTTATTAAATCTCTCATATGGCATTTTCCCAAGGGAGTAAATTTCCCACATTAAAACCCCTAGAAGATAATAAAAAACAGTATTAAAACAGTTTTCAGTCTTTTGGGAAGAGTAGGCGTCCTAGTCTACCTAGAATAGGTTCCAAGATCAATCTCAAAGACTAGAATCAGCTTGTTCCCCCTCTGTGCTTTTTACATTTTGTCCAAACTACTGCAATAGTACTGACTACACTGGATGGCTGTTGGAGTTTTACTGGACCATTAGCTACTCTAGAAGAGAGGCAGCATCTTATTTGTCTTTGTAGTTATAGGGTCTGGCAGAATGCCTAGTACATAATCAGTATTCAGAAGCTGTTGAATACTGAATGAATTGTTTGTTTCCCTCAATATATTATAAGTTCTAAGAAGGCAGGGATCGTGTCCAGTTGACTGTTTGTGTCCTCAGAAACCCCTGAGGTTTCTGACACATAGTAAGCCCTCTCTAAGGATTAGATTAATGAAATCAAGAACAGTCTTTCTGTGCAGTTTGCAAAGTTGAATTTACCCATTGCATTCCTCTTCCTTTGAGCTGTATAATCTGTACAATCTTATCCACTTACCAAAAGCCCAAATGTCAGATTTGCTGCTGAACTTGCTATACATAAGGACTTCTGGTGGAGACCACCGGACTGGAAATTTAGAGCCTACTGAGCTGGTGTACTCATCATCCAGGACATATCTGTAAGGGATTCAAGACATGTTACTGTTACGATTTAGAGAACTTGATATTTGCTTAAGTCTTCTTGGTACAATCACAAGAGCTACACAAATACACACTTACAGGCTTTCTGAAAAGTCTCTGTGGGTTAGCCAATGTCTTTTACAAATGTTACATTTAACAAAATTCCTGTTTTCATTACTGATTCAGCTTTCCTCATTGACAGTCTGGTTATAGGAAGAATGAGGTAAAAAAAAAAAAAAGAAGATCTAATAGGTACTCCTTTTCTTTTCTCTATCTCCTTTTCATTTCTCTATTCTTCCCTTCCTTCTACTGTTGCCAATGGAGATTAGACTAATTAAGAAGGAGAGATGGAGGAAAGTCAACAGAATTAACAGGTCAAGTTAAGTGTTTCCATATTTTTTATTGGTGCATTATAATTGTACATAATGGTGGAGTTTGTTGTTACATATTTGTACATGCCCACAATATGATTTGTCCAATATCATTCCCCAGTGAGGAAATATAGTTTTTAAAAAAGGGATTAGAGGTAAAGGGGAAAAGGAGAGAAGAATGTAATAATAAAGCAAAAGGATGAAAGAAGTGACCTAAAAAATTCAGAGGAAGAAAAGGATTAGAAAGATGGTAGAAAAACACACAATGAGAACAGAAAAGGAAGAGGAAATTAAAACTGTACCAACCAGGGTAACTCCACATCATGTACAACCACAAGAGTGGGATCCTAAA